GGTTGTGGTGATGGTGGTTCAAAATTCGACTTTTATTTATTTATTTATTTATTCATTTATTTACTCATTAATTTTTAATCCTGTGTCCTGACATTGTGCCAACATTTGCAATTTACGTAAACATGACAGACATTATCATACTTCAAGAATAACAACAACAACAAAAAAGAAAAAAAAGAAAAAAGGAAAAAAACAACTTATTTACCTGTAATGATAATGGTTGTGATGATGAGGGTGATGTTATCTTAAAGAAAGAAACATGACTGTTGAAAAAGAAACTGTCATGATCGAGAAAAGAAGAATTAGATATTAAGAAACAGATGAACTTTAGCCCAAAAGACTGATAAAGAGTCCACTTATGGTTCTAACCTTTTAAAAAAAAAAATTAAAAAATGGGGCCATATGCCAAGGTCAATACTTAGAACTGTCCCCCTTGCCTATGACCTCAGACTAGAAAGACAGCCACAGCCCGTGCGGGCGTCCAGGGTACAAGGATGTCAGGGTCTTTTTACACTCAAGGAGAGGTATCGATTTCTATCTTGAATATTGGTGTAAAGTGCACTTTAAGATAGAGTGCTATAATATAAGTATGGGATGGAGCGCTATTTAATGCAATCTATTATTATTGTCATTATTATTATTATAATTATTATTATTATTTGATATCATTTGATATTATTATTATTATTTAATATTACGTCAGGTTATAATGTTTGCGGCTGAGCCGTCGGTGAGGGCATTAATCTGTGTCTTGGGCTGTCTGTGGTGCAAGAGAGCGAGCTTCACGTTTCGGTATTTTTACGAGGTCGAACGAACGAGCATAACAAGATGGTAAAAAGCATCCCCGGTCGTATTCGTTTGTTTTGTTTTTTTCAGATGTCGCAACGGTCGTTGTTTTTGAAGCTCTTTCGTTTTTCGAGAAGAAGAAAAGGAAAAGCACCCCCTCGCGCTCGCAGATTGAGTGCTGTTGTACGAAAAAAGATTAGCATTGGCGCCGATAAATCGAACTCTAAAACGCCTTTAACCGACTTTTTAAAAGCTGCAAAAGCTTCTCATGTTGCTACATTCACTCTTTCCTTAAAAGAAAAAACAAAACAAAAAACAAGCTATAATGATAAAATGTTCATTCGATAAACCTGTTGCGCGAGTGCGGAACCGATGATGCCCTGGAACATGTATTTGACGCACAGTCCTCTTCGTAAAGTACGCGGGTTTTTTAATTTTTTTTTATTTTGCAGAGGGCGCCACCGTGATTTCAAGGACGCTTCAAGTGTACGATCTCTGTCCTGGCCTAACTTGTAATCAACTATTTCATGCTCGACCCTCGTCAGTTGAACAATTTCACATAAAATAATTGTAGTTTCAAAGTAAAAATCCAATAGCTGGGGCTTGCACGAGCTTACAAAGACGTACCCAGATCCTTGAATGAGGCTCGAATTATATTTTATTTTATAAACAATGACGACTGAGACCATGCAAGACTGATTCACATTTACCATCATGCAGGTAGAATTACTCAGATGCTGCAGATGCTTTTGCATATTATATCCGGATGAATTGTTTTGAAGCAAGAAGGGTGTTTTTTTTTTTGCATGCCACATTTAAACCTGAACTGTAATTTTTTATTAAAAAACCAACACCCCCTCCCTTAAACC